AGGTAGTGCTAAACAAGTGGTTGTTTTTCCGTTATTTACTCTATTTTGTTGTGGAGTGTAGACATAGGAATACTCATGAACAATTAATTCCTTTTGGAAGAAAGATGATAATTTCTTGGTAAAATAATCTCGAGCATTATCGGTTCGAAATTATTTGATTGTTACCCCAAACTATGTATTATTGTAGTATTTTTCTTTGAGATAAGTGTAATTATCGTAATATAAAATCGGGGAGGAATATGACTAAGTTCATTTTTAAATTTTAACTAGAAAAGTCAGATGACCTAAGTACAACCATCAATAGATGTAATAGACTATCGGGTCCCAGAAATATTAAGATTATTTAAGGGGTCTTGAATATCGCAATGAATTAACGTAAAAAGAAAAACAAATCCTATTGGTCATTCCCATGTGTGAAATCGGCTAGAATAGACTTTGAGCTTTCGTTTTCCTTTTTGATTCCGACTCCTTTATTTAATTAATTCTTGAAGAATGATTCGCTTTGAACTCTTGAAGGATAATCGGTCTCCAACACTATTCTTGTCGCCCTCGATAGTCCTAAAAGGATTTTTATTGCCGAAGTTGAGTGAGAGAAGAATTAGGGAGGAAGAATCCCTCACGGTAAAGAGTTACCCGTACGGGCGGGACTGTTTCCCCTCCACCTCTTAGCCAAGCATGTGAATCACGGGACTCACACATGGTCGCATGTGTGAAAGCATGCCGCCGCCCTTTTAGCTCGAATAGGCAAGGGCTTGCTTCTTGGTGGGCCAAGTTGAAGCCCTTTTCCTTATCGCGAGACTCCTCAAGCTCGCAGGAGTTTAAGTGCACCTCAAGCCTGTGGGGGCTCAAGCTTTCCTTAAGCCTGGAGGAGTCCAAGTCTTTGTCAAGCCTGCGGGAGTGCAAGCTCTCCTCAAACCCGCAGGAGTCCAAGCTCTCCTCAAGCCTGCAGGAGTCCAAGCTCTCCGAGCACTTGCAAGAATCCTTCATGCCGCGGGATTTCTCTATCCCGCAGGATTCCTTGAACCTACGGGTCCCTCCCTGCTCATGAGTTGCCATGCCTCCTTGGTTCACATCATTTGGAGTTGAGGTCTTTTGTAGAGATGAATATGACCTTATGAGATAAATGAGGGTGGAGATTCATGAAAGAGGACAATACTCTTTGGTGGAGGGTGATAGAAGCGAAATTTGGTGCCGTGGATAGAGGATGGTTCTTCAGAATATTGGCAAGACAACACGAGAAGGGGATGTGGAAAAAGATATTCATGGATAAGAATAAATTCCATACTTGTATCAGATGGAGGGTAGGTAGGGGAGACAAAAATAGATTTTGGCAGGATCTTTGGCTTAAGAGGAGAGCGCTCAGGGACCAGTTTCCTCAAGCTTTTGCTATCGCACGACATAAATATATCACAATCTATGGGTCATTCAGAGACATAGGGGGGAAGGAGTGACATATGGATGTGTTGAGAAATCTCAATGATTAGGAGATTAATGAGTACGAGATTTTTCTGAATACTCTTTCCTTCATATCAATGGACGAGAACAATGACCAACTAATATGGAGTCTCAATGCCACAGTTTTTTATGTAAGGTCTTTCTATAATTATTTGGTTAAGAATGATACCACGAAAATCAGATTCCTTTTCGACAAATCTGGAAGGTTAATGCCCCATCAGGGCTGCTTCCTTTGCGTGGGAGGCCGACCGAGAATTTATTCTAACTAGTAACAAATTGGTGAGAAAAGGAAAGACTATGGTGAATGTTTGTTTTTTTATATAAAAGGGATGCAGAATTCTGTAATCATGTCCTGCTTTGGTGTACGTTCACATATAAGTTTTGGACTATGGCTTACGGATTAATGGGAATCAGTTGGGTGATGGTTAGGTCAGTAAGAGATGAGATTTGGGTCTACAAAGGTATTAATAGAGGGAAGAAACAAGTGGATCTCATTCCCATTGTTATATTTTGGGTGGTGTGGAAAGAGACAAACAAAAGAAGTTTTGAGGAGGTGGTTGAAGATATTGATAGGGTTAGAGATAGATGGTTCGAGATCCTAGATTTTTTAGCCATAGGTCATCATTTTTTTGCTATAGAGGATTTTGGGAACCTTAATTAGTATCCTAATTATATATAATATTTTTTACATGGGTTAACATCCTTTTGGTGCTTGTGAATTAATGAATTATACCATATTTTTTATTTTATAAAAATTTTACTTATTGATCATTCAAGTTATTCAATAATATTTTGAGAGTTTTCAAATTTCTGTTGTGTGATATAATCAAACCTTTAAATGTGATGCTTAAAACCTTTTAGATGTGATGTGTAAGAGACCCTAAGTGTGATGTCTAAGTTTTTATCTCTAAATCCCTAACTGGACAATAAAAGAGCCTTTGACAATTGCACCTCTCTGAATCAAAGAGTCTTTGTGTTCTGCTCAAAGGGCTCCCAAATGGAATAGATATTTGGACATTTTTTGTTTAATCTCCATTAGGAGGATGTAAATTTTCTCCACTCCATTATACATAGGTTTGCACCCTCTTGGTATCTATCAATTTATCTTTTTCTCTAAAAAGAAACTGTTTTTTGAATCCGCTCCTTACCAATGGTTTGTTCCATTTTGCATCATCCTCCATAAAATGCGTAACTCATATGAAATAAACTTTTTCAGTTGAAAGTAATAACACATTTTTTCTTCAAATTCTTTAGGGTTATTTTTGTTTCAGTTCTTGTTTCATTTCTATGTAATTTCTTTCATACAAATGTGGTTATAACTTAATTTTTCATGTTTGAACTATACCCAGTCACTTGTATTTCTTAGGGTTGGAATTGATTGAATGATAATTGAACCAGAATAGCCATAAGGAAAAATGATTGGGAGGAAATATTTTAGAAACGAAATTCATTATCCAAATAGCTTTAATTTGTAACAATGGTCATTTTGTCGATGTATTTTGGGCTTTTCTTCCGCACTATGTTTATATGTTTAATCTTTTTCTCCTTGCAGATAATATTCTTCCTCTGGTTTACTTTATCTGGATGGCTATTTAGATTATTGATATTTGGTACATGGGTACTTCCATTTGCTGCACCTATTCTCATTGGGACTGTTGCCAATAACCTTGTCATCAAGGTAAAACTGGTTACTCATTCCTTTACTTACAATTCAGTTGCTTCTCCATACTCCTGAGGTGATTATGTTGAATCTCTGGTCTTCTACCATGTCAAAACCATTAAGGTTTGAGCATTCTGACTGATAATTCTGTCTAAAAAAATCTTTTGTGCTATTGTAATTAATATATAGAAGAAGAATGACAAGTTTAGATAAATCCTGGATTTCTGATTCCCTTCCTGAGCTATTAGCAGTTAGGAACCTGTCTATAGGATATTGTCTTCTTGGCTCAATGGAACTGGGGACACTTTCTATTCTCTCAGTAACATGCATGCCTGTAGGAGGATAATTTGATGTATTTTTTAATTGTTCTACTTGGTGATTGCATTAAGTGTTTCATTAAATATGCTTGGTTAGAGTGTAAATATTGTGAATTTATGTTGCTTCTGCAAATGTTGTTGGGTAGAAAATCTATGATGCAGTTCCAGGGCTGTAATGAATGGTTTCGACATGCTTTGGTTTGTTGATTACTTGAGTGGATCTTTCTTCTAGTCATTTCCAGCGTCTAATTAGTTTTTCAGTTGCAGATGCTGGTGTGGGTGAAAAAGGTTGTTATTTGGTTCTAAATGCTGGTACGGGTCCAAGTCAAAACTGCCTAGATATTTGACCTCAATTTAGTTGAATGCTGCAAAAACTTGAACTTGACTTAAAACTTGATTCAAATCAAGTCAAGTTTGGCAGCATATTATTAGAAAGAGAGAGTGCCCAATAAGAGGGTAAAATGTCCTTCTGCAGCAGCAAAAATGAAGAAAACACAGGCAAAGTTCAATAATAGGTAGTTGTTTAATCCATTTGCAAAGTAGCTAGAAAGACCCTTGGATAAAAACCATGAGCAAAAAAACCAATATTTCCAAAATCAAAAAAAGAAATTGGAAAGCATTTTAAAAATCTAGCTTTCGTTTCCAGCTACAAATTCCACAAAGCAGAAAATAGCTCAACCTTGACATTTCTTGCTCCTCGTTCCTACCAATAATAGACAGTTAAATAAATCTCACATTAGCTGAAAATTAACCAAGACTATAGACAGAGAATAGCCGCTGCGTTCGTGCTCACAAACATCAGCTGAATAACCAAACCCCCAGTGTTCCAAGATGGAATGAATCTAAAATATACATAAAATTACGTCAAGAAGACCTCAAAATCTCATAGTTGGAAACAAAAGTCAACGAGGAATTTTCATTTCCATAAAAAAATCGTTGCCTCTATTTACAACCTAAAACAAGTAAACAAGCAAGATAAGAAACTAGCAAAATACATAATAGATCAAAGAGCAATAAGCCTCTTTCTTATAATCTCAAAGGGAGACTTGACAGATCAAGAGTTAAATTTGATTGAGAAGGGATATTTATGTGTTTGCACTGGTAAACCAATGTAGGCTATCAAGAAAAACAAGTCTTCCAATGATTTGCAAGTGCAAGCATTGTCATGGAACTCTTGTAGGTAAGTGGAGATGCAGAACTCATAGCTGAGAGACAGTGGAAGACTGCTGTCGGTTGGCGACTACCAACTAGTGGGGCAGGGTTGAAGAACAGGATGTGAGGAAGCCTAATTTTGAAACAATCATGCATAGTCGATCTGAAGAGTACAAGGAAAAAAACTATATTTATATTTTTAATTTTTTAGTATCTATGATAATTAATAAATTATAAGTTAAAGATGGGGGCAGGATGAAGGGGGGAATGCTGTTTAGAGAATTGGGGAGGCCTTATGGGATGGGATTTTGGAAGGGTATTTAGGCAAGGAGACAGCTTTTTTATGATTGTGTATACTAGAAGGTTGGTAGAGGGGATAGGGTTCTTTTTGGGTCATTTGAAAAGAGAGAAATGGTAAGGCCTTTGAGGGGGTGGAAAACAAGATTCATAAATTGAGAGATAGGTGGTTCAATTATTTTGGGTCTATTTTACTGTAGCATGACATTTATAGGATGGAAGATTTTTAGTATATAGTTGATACACTTGCTAATTTGTAAATATTTTGTAAATGGTTGGTATCCCTTTGATACCTATGATTCTTTAATATAGTTTAACCTTTTACACTAGAAAAAATTATAAGTTAAAACATTTTTGAGAGAAAAAGAAAATTATATAAAAACCACTAAAGAGATGTAACCCTAAAACAAAATTATTATATATCGTAAATCAAAATGTCGATAAAGTTGCTCAAATCTAGATAATCAAGGATGGAATGCCTTGGCAACAAAGTATACAGGGACTGGAACCAATCGTCTCTAACTCTACCCAAGAGGAGCATCTGCCCTAAAAAATAGGCTTGTTTTCTTTTTCAGATTATTTTACAAAATAGACATAGGAATAAAATTGAGAAGTTTTCTCCTATGTTTACAAATGTTAATACTCCACCAAGCCAAATTTCCTACCTGATTGGCCTAGCAATCGCCCAAGTAGAGTTATGAAGGCATAACCCACATCCTTATAGTCTCTGAGCAACATATGAAAAGATGTTTGGGCGATTCTTCCTCTTTAAAACACAGTTCACAGATTGACTAAAAGGCTTTCCTCTGTTTGTCCAAGGTGACGATTCTTCCCCAAACATTTCTCAACCAAAGAAAGCAATGTCAGTGGAAGGGGGTCGCTTTTCCATATTACTTCCGTGAGAATCTGATGTAGAGCAAATTAGCATTAATTTGCTTACTTAGGGATTCAGGCATAAAACCTAATGATATCACACATAAAGTGTCTTAATCATTATATCGAAGATGTGTTATGTATCACGTAAGAGTTTAGTTGCATCATACAATCAGAAAATTAAAAGATTTTCAAAGTATTAAATTGAATAATTGAAATCTATCTCAAAAGGTGAAATTATAGAGATATTTATAATTTTTCGTAAGTAACCTTTACTAAATGGGATTAACTTAAGAAATAATTTACTAATAGAATTAGGAAATAATACTATTAATACAAGTTAGAAAACTAAGTACTAATAAAAATAAAATCTTTCAAAGTTACTAACAATGTACTCTTAAATAGTGTAATGGTTTTATATTTAAGAAAATTATGATTTCTAACTATATTCAGGCAATCTAGAGCTAATTCAAAATCTAATTATAACAAGATTCTTAGAGCATAGGTTATTATACAAAGGTTTCATAGAGAACTTCCCATTTTTGGCTATGGGCTGCATAGGGCAATCATCCAAAGAGGTCTTAACCCAGCAATTACCTAATAGGTAATAGGTATAGGAAATGTAGAACTAAATAAATGGACTTATTCATCTTTCTTGGATAGAAATGTCATTAGCTTTGAAAATTCAGGAACCTCCTATTCATTCAGATTTCTGAAGATATTGATGTTCCAGGAGGTCTGGTCATTTATTCCTGGCCAATGAAAAATGTTGAGAAAGCAAATCCTTGATGGAGTATCACTACACCATAGATCATCCCAAAAACCAATCGACTACCTGTTGCCCACCTTAAATTGAACAAGTCCATTATGGTATGTCACTCCATTGATTCATCTCCACAAGCTA